GACCATTAGGTCTCTGTGGGATTCAACAACCTTTTATATTACTCTAATACACTACATATACTTGTGGATAGCAACCCATCAGTTAGCTTGTAGACTAAGTTATCTCAGTAGTCTATAATAGAATAGTTCTCTCAGGTTGTTGAGCGAGGTTAATTGTTGGTATTCACTTGTAATCTTTGAACCCTTATTAAGAAAGTGAATAGTAAAATAGTTTTAACCAAATCTCTATTCTTCTTCTTCCTTCTTTTCTCCCTTTTATAAAACCTAATAGGATTTCTTGTGTTTTTTCAAGAAACTCAAATATTTTTCTCATACTATATTCTGTTATTGACGACATCGTTTCACAACAAACTGGTGTGGTGAGCGTGAAGGAGAAGATGTCATCAACGAAGTATGAGATTAAGAAATTCACAAGTGTGAATGATTTCGGTTTGTGACTCTTGAAGATTCAAGCCCTTCTTGTTCAACAGGTTTTGTTAGAAGCATTGAAAAGATCGGAGAAGATGAAAGTTTCCTTATCAGAGAAGGAGAAAACATTGTCGAGTAGCAAGTTTTTCCACTGTATACAGTTGATAAAACTGCATGATGAAAGCTAGTTTGTTCCCTTGTTATAAAGTTTGTTCCAAGGTGGAGATTTATGGTATTCGAATCAAACTCTAATATCGACAATGGTAGCTTTATGGTTCAACAAGAGTTGTGGAGTTATGCATGTTGTAGTCGAAGTCTGTTCAAGCATGTTGTCGAAATATGTTAGCTTTTTGTTTAAGTTAGCATGTTGAATTGGGTCTTGATTGTAAGTCCAATTGTTAAGTTAGTCTGTAGCCTAAGTTTGCTTAGTAGTCTATAAATATACTAGTTCTCTCAGGTTCTTGAGAGATGTTAATTATTGATATTCACTTATAATCTTTCAACCATATTGAGAAAGTTAATAGTAAAATAGTCTTAACCAGTTCTCTATTCTTCTTCTTCCTTCTTCTCTTCCTTTTGTAAAACCTAATAGGGTTTCTTGTGTTTGTTCAAGAAACTCAATCTTTTTCTCATATTTTGGTTTGTTCTTGACGACATCAATTCACAATAATATGTATTATTGTAAACCAGAAGATTACAAATCACACTTAAGTGTATTATTGACAAAATCGGCAAGGTCATCTTAGAGGTATTATGATGCAAAAACTTATATTGAAGAATCAGAAGTTTCTTCAATCCGATAAATTTTGCATGTTTCGAAAGGAAATTAAGATTTTTATAAGTTGATTTTTTATATAACATATATAAGGTGATATTTGTGAATCAATACATCAATCATGTAGATGATTTAAAAATTGTATAATATTAATTGTTGCATCAACTAAAAGATCATGCATATGCTTGTTGTCTAGTCACAATCTGAAGTTTGTGAAATTGTTTTCTCAGCTAAAAGATCGTGAATATATATTATGATGTGAAAACTAGTATTGAAAAACCAGAAGTTTCTTCAATTCAATAAATTTTGTGTGTTTCTAAAGAAAAATAAAAATGAGAAATTGAAGTTTTCTTGACATTAATCGTTGCATAGACTAAAATATCATGCAAATATTTATTGTCTACTCATAACCAGAAGTGTGTGAAGTTGTTTTCTCATACTAAGATCTCAATTTTTAAAAAATTTAGAACTTTCTTGATAAGTATCACATATACTATTAAAATTGATATTGAACGTCCTGTAGTATATGTTCATGAAAAAATGGACATGAAGATTCATTCTTTATAAGTCTAAACTTAATTGTATTGTTGATACTTGTGAGATCATAAATTCTAAATTTGATATTTGAAACACTCAAAATATGAATATTAAGATATTTATTCGTATTAAGACAACAAGTTAGTATATGTTAATTCTCTCTTTAACTTATAACATGTTTTAGGTTAATAAATCAATATGTCTAATCTAAGTAAACTTTTGGATGTGTTGTGATTATTCAATTGCTACAATATAATACGCTAGAAAATATATTTTATATGAATATCATTTTTTAGTATATATTTTGATCCAATAATTGGATACTTGTTTGAAGCTCAGTAGACCGATTATCAATTGATAAATTAATTTTCTCAGTATTAGGGGGAGAGATTAAGTAGCTGAAAGTGTGAACCAAAAGTTCAAATGAACAATTTGAAATAAAATATTATTATATCACTTTGATCCTTGAAGTTCAAAACACAATTTATTTGTAAAGTTTATGGAAAAAAATTATCAATGGCTAATACTACACTCAAAGTGGATTTTTCTTTTAGACAATATAATGTTGCAAATGAGTTGCAACCGCACCTGGAAAAGTTGGTTCCAATGTTAAAATTCGTCTACTTAGAAAAGAAACTAGAGTTAAATATGACCGAGCCAGGATACAAAAATTATAAGAGCATTTTGACATAATTCATTTTCAGATCTAGAAGAACTAATCAAGTACTTGAAATATGAAATAAAGAGATCTCAATAACTTATATCGTGAATGAAATGTGATGGAGGCGAAATTAAGATAACCAAAAATAGAGTCAATATAAGTTATTTCATTCACAGGTGACTCGATTTTGGATATGAAATACAATATAACACTAAAAGTTATCAATGATAACGAGGATTATAAGTTAAAGTCTATCAAAGATGGTAGACAAAGTGAGAATTGACCAAAAATGAATATATTCAGTTGAAAAAGAATTAAACTCACTCTACAGGTGACTCGATTTTGGATATGTAGTCTGAACATTTCAAAGTGTAAAACCAATATGATATAAATGAATTTTTGAGAAAAAAACAAAATAAGAATGGTATAAAGCTTGACTTGTTTCTCAATGATTTTCATAAAGACCTAAGATTGATTTTGATGAAACATATCTCACCTGTATTGAATTCAATTAATTTTTTATATTTAATTATTCTTGTAGCACATGAATGACTTAATATGAACATGATGGATATTCTGACATCTTATTTATATGGCTCACTTGATGGTGACATTTACTAAAACTCTTTAAAGGGTTTAATATATCAGAGATACATAATTTTGAATCTTGAAAAAGTTACTCTGTCAAATTGAACAAGTCTTTCTATGGGTTAAAATAATATGGACACATTTAATATAATTTTCTCAATGAATATTTGATAAGGGAGCGATGTACAAATAATTTCATATGTCCTTGTATTTTTATGAAAAGATCTAAAAAATCATTTTCTATAATGGTTGTCTATGTAGATGACATAAAATGATTGGAACTCCTGAAGAGATTCCAAAAGCTATAAATTGTTTAAAGAAATTATTTGAGATGAAGGACTTGGAAAAGAAAAATTCCTTACTAAATGAACATTTAGACAATGAAACTTTTATACACCAAGAAGGTTATATAGAAAAAGTGTTAAAACATTTCTATATGAGAAAATCTCGTATATAGCAAAAATGTTAAAGGTCCTATATGGACGAATCTGGTATGTTGTCTACCTAGCTATATGATGTTAGATCATGGATGTGCAGATGATTCTTTTAGACCTCGAGAAAGGAATGAAAAACTAATTGGTCCTGAGGTACCATATCCTAGTGTAATTCAAGCACTAATATATCTTGCGAATTATACACACCATGATATGTTAGTTTCTATAACTCTAATAACAAGATATAGTTTTTCACTTACACGAAGACATTTGAACGGAGTTAAATATATACTTTGTTATCTTAAGGGTAAATGAACACGAGTTTGTTTTATTTTAAATTATCCAAATTATAATTATCAGGTTATGCAGAAATAAGTTACTTGTCAAATCCTCATAATAGTAGATTGCATAGATTGTTTGTTTACTTATGGTGGTACAATTATTTCATAGAGACATGCAAAATAAATCATAGCAACAACTTCATTTAATTATGAAGAAATTTTTAATACTACATGTGGATAATACGTTTGGTTGAGATCCTAAATTCAACCCACACAAAAGACTTGTAGTTTGACTTCTGGAAAAAGAAATACAACAACCATATATGAAGATAATAATGCATGCATTGCTCAATTGAAATATGGTTACATTAAAGAAGATCGAACAAAACACATTTCTTCAAAGTTCTTTTTCACTCGTGATATTCACACAAAAAATGATCATATAAGCTCCAACAAATTTGTTCATGTGATAATCTTGTAGACATTTTCACAAAGTCACTCTCTAGTGGAACTTTTAATCAACTGGTGCAAAAGATTGGTCTTCATCGTCGAAGAAATTATCGTTCAGCTAAGGGGGAGAAATGAATTTGTTCAGCTGAAGGAAAGAAATGATTTTTTCTTAAAAGGATATTGTACTCTTTTTCATTCACTAGATTTTTTTTTCATTAGTTTTTTTCTAATAAAGTTTTAACTAAGCATATCCTGAACAAACATCCCAGAGGGATTGTTATGAATAATAGACGATTGTCTTCCTATAATTTTCTTTCTTATTTGTAATAATTTATATTGATTAGTAACAAGGTAGTTTTCTCATAAAGACTGATATACTCTTTTTCGTTCGCTAAAATTTTTTCCACTAAATTTTTTTTAATAAAATTTTAACGAGATATATTCTTTATAACATAAAAAAAGTGTTATAAAATAAATGATTATGGATTTTCATCAATTAAAAAATTACATATTAATTTTCTATTTATTATATATGTCTTATAAATAAGGCTCATATTATATTTGAGTGACTCACTCGAAATGAAAATAACATAATAAACTCTCTTTTTTTTTCTCTTGTTTCTACTCTTCTATTATATTATTTCTTATTAATTTCATAACAATATATTGTTATTATAAACTCTAACATTTAGTTTATTACAAAACAAAAAAGTCAGCGTAAAAAGAAAAAAGTTGGTTTCGGACAAATTCCAAGTCAATTTATGTATATTCTGATACAATAGAATCAACCTTTACTTCAACTTTAAGAAAAATCCATAATAAAAAATCCTTTGCAGTACCATCTAGAATTCTAAAAGCAAAGAAAGATGCCTCGTGGAACTCTTGAAGTAGTTTTGATCAGTGCCAAAGGCCTTGAAGACAATGATTTTCTATGTAAGTTATAGCAGATTTCAAATTTTGATTTTGCATATGTCAATGATTTCACCTTTTTCATTGAAATTTCTGCATAAAAACAATGGATCTGTATTCTGAAATTGCAGCAAGCATAGATCCTTATGTGATCCTTACTTACAGAGCACAGGAGCACAAGAGTAATGTGCAAGAAGGTAAAATTCTGGAAAAACTTACTAGTATTGTATAATTTTCTCTTTAGTGGCTTGATTATTGTATTATGAAAATGTTAGGTGCTGGATCCAACCCTCAATGGAATGAAACTTTTCTTTTCACTGTTTCTGATTCTACTTCTGAGCTCAATCTAAAGATAATGGAAAAGGACAACTATAACAATGATGATAATATTGGAGAAGCAATGTGAGTTTAATTCTTCTTTAAATTGCAAATTTTGGTTTAGTGGAAACTTTCTATCAGAGTAAAATAGTTTTACTCCGATACCAGAACTCTGATATTGGCTGATAAACCTACTTTGTAACTGCAATTTAAAAATAACTGCTAAATATGCATTCATTTCTATGTGTAGAATTCCTTTGGATGCTGTGTTTGACGAGGGTAGTGTTTCAGAGAGTGTTTACAAACTTGTGAAGGAAGAAGAATATTGTGGTGAGATTAAAGTGGCTCTCACTTTTACACCTGAGGTAATAATAATTCTATATAATCTTTTTTCTACTATTTTTCTTCATGTTTTGTGCCTATTTTTAAGTCCATATTCGAATTTACTATCAATTATTGGTTGCAGAGAAATGAAGAACAGGGTTACAATGAAGAGGAGAGTGGTGGATGGAAAGAATCAGCTAGTGAATATTGAAGTGAATCAAGGGTTTGCATTTACAGATTTCCAAGGTCCAAAATTACTGCTATAAAAAAAATCTCTTCAGCCCCTTTAAGAATTTTAATCAATGTGTTTTCTGGTGTGATTATATGATAGTGTTCTGTTTTTACTTTCAACCAATTTGATATATAAACTATATTATCCTCTCATAACATTGTACGCACTAAAATTTATTCTGATATATAAACATAGTACTTTCAAAAAATTTCTGAATGTATAGATATAATCAAATAAACACTGTCAAGACCTTATTAAAATTCGAAAACAGAAACAGTAAAATAAGAGTATATGAAATAAAGCTACTGGCAAAAGGATGGTTTATCATAAGCAAACAGAACCATAACGACAAACAGCTAACAGCAAATGGCCGATTAATTAGTCGCTATTTCTTTTTTCTTGTTTGTGTGACTTTATCCGCTCCATCAACTGCGAAGTGAGTAGAGACACCGGCATCTTACTTGGGTATATAATCCTCATCTTTCTCGTCATCGGTGCTTTCACCTGAGCTGGATGGTTTAGACCCATCATCTGAAAGAAACATATATTGAATCAATTGCTTTGTTGACTACCATTATGCAGAAAATCATAGACAAACATTATGAATTTTAAAAGTTCTGTTCAGAAATTTACTCTTGGCAGAAGCTAATGAATTTGAGTTTGATAGACGTGATGGTCTCCCACGAATTGACAGGGCAGCTGATGTCTTCCTACGACCAATAGAAGTGTTTTTCTTCAGCGCTTCGTCTTCCCTTCTTCTAATTGATTTACCACACTGCAAATAGAAAGATACATTAGTTGATCTTCCAGAGTGTCGTTGATAACTTAGCTCAAAACCCAATATAAACACTAGAAATTTTAAGGATAGAGAACAAATCTACACAAAGGGAACTTAGAAACCTAAATGGAAATCAACTACATGAAAAACAATAAAATTAGTATCTAATCTAATGACTAACAAAAAATAAGGTAATTGTATACTCCAACTGAAAAAATTAACTTAGAATGAAAATGTACTTGTTGTGAAGCACGGGCCCCTCTAGGAGTAAGCGTATGGCGGTGTCCGACAGTTGTATGATACTCTACGAATGTGTTGGAAAAGTCAGCCAAGTGTTGGTAGAAAAGTAAGACAAGTGTTCCCCAAAAGAATGTTTTTTTTCTTTGATTCGACACTCTTTGAACCAGTGTCCGACACTCATACAACACGTATTGTGTCCTAGTGTCCATGTCGGAGTCCGTACTTCATAGTGTATTTATCATATACGACACATTAGTCACTAGTGGGAGAGACACAACCATTTTTATTTCTTTTTTTACAGTGGAATTTCCGCAGTGAGTGCAGGAGATCCCAATTCCCAAGAATTTGCCACACTTTTCAACTCCAGCAGTACAGTAACCACATTGAAACTTAATAAAGCATTCAACAAAATCATTTGACACTTTCATGAGGCATATTTAAAATACTACACGTCTAAAATGCAAGAAACTTTCACAAAATTGATGGGAAATTGCAGGCCAAATAAGAACAATATTAGGAAAAGATAAAGAGAGCATAATTGAGAGAGATGAGTGAATATGTATTTAGTGTAACAGAATTGAATGAAGGTAGTTACATCAATCAGTATTTATAGAAATACTGATGCACTAAGTTTGTTACATTTGACAGCTCAGCATAGAGTTTGTCACAGTTCAGTAACAAACACTTAACTAAGTTGATCCCTGAGTGCTAGAAACCTTAGTGCAGACAAGGATTTGGTCAGAAGATCTGCATTCTGTAAACGAGCTGGAATATGGTTGACATAGGTCTTATTAATGACCTTTTCCCTTAGAAAGAAGATATCAAGTTCCATGTGCTTAGTCTTAGCATGAAGGACAGGATTATGAGAGAGAGCAACTGTGCTCAAATTCTCACAGTATAGGATTGGTGTGAGAGTTCGAATTTTGGGCTCTGCAAGTAGAGACTGAACCCAGAGTTCATAGTGCAGCGAAGTTCATAGTGCAGCTGTCGCGACTTCGCATAGATCTGAGTTCGTTGAAATTGATCTATGCTCGGACCAGACTTTGTGCGCATTAACACATTTCACCACTTGAGGAAGAACCGAGTCTGAAAGCGTAGTCAGAAGCCACGTAAAGAGAAGTGAATCCTCTTGATGTCGTAGCAGATACGCAGGGTTTTCTGTATCAGATGTGCGGTCCTCAGTTGAGAGAAAGCGAGGAGCAATTGAAGGATTCACAAGATGGCGATGCAACTTGTCAATTCTGATGATACCTTCAACCTGCTATTTCCATGAGAGGAATTTCGTGTTATCAAGTTTGATGCTGATTTGTTGCGCAAAAGTCTTGAAAGCATTCTTCAACTAAGAAGCTTCAACGGTTTTCGAAGGAGTTCCACCTTCAGTGGAAGCCATGGCTACGTCACAAGCTCATGATATCATATCAGGAAAAGATAAAGAGAGCATAATTGAGAGAGATGAGTGAATCTGTTGTATTTAGTGTAACAGAATTGAATGAAGATAGTTACAAGTATTTATAGAAATACCGATGCACTGAGTTTGTTACATTTAACAGCACAGCATAGAGTTTGTTACAGTTCAGTAACAAACACTTAACTAACTAACTCATCAAGAGTAAGTCAATTACTAATATACTCTAATAAACAACACATTCAGTTGATATGATGATTCAGGAAAAATGAAATTCAACTCACCAGTTGATAGGCGCCAACCTGATATCGCTTAGCATAATTCACATAGCGAATGAGATTAGGATATGTGTAGAAATTCTGCCCAGTGTCAGGACAATAATAAGACTGCAACAGAAAAATACATTCATAAAAACAAAAAAGAAACATTGGTTAGTATCATGGATTATAGGAATAATGGATGCTATTTAGTAGACCCGGAGAAATAAATGGCTATTTTTCTTACATGATTACTTCCATGATGAGACTAATAAATAATAATTCAAAATACAAATTCCATGTCTGCTAATAAATAATAATTCAAAAACAAATTACATGTCTGCTGATATGTATACTTCGAAAACATTATCTCAAATACAATGACTTCTCATACACTATGTTTGCTTCTTGAGCAACTTTCCCAATTTTTTAACCACACTATTTTGAAGCATAAATACATCTAATATTTTCATACACTATCATGTCGCACATGTTTCCAACACTGGCACCTATGCGACTTCTAGACACATGCCCGACACTCTTTATGTTGCACATGTTTTCAAAATGACTTGCCTAGTAACCTCTTGGACAGTAAATCAACACAATGACTTGACGCTTAAGGAACACACCAATCTTATAAAACTGATTTTAAAAAACTTTAAATAATGCTTAACTAAAATTACTTTAATTTTTATACATTATCCATGCATAAATTTTATGCATTCAATGATGTGTTACCATATTATTTAATGAGTGACAAATCATGTGTTTTCAAACCCATTAAATGACCGTGCTAACCCGTCATTCGAACAAATTTCATTTGAAATGAAAATTCAGTATTCACCATGTCCCACACATTTATACTTCAGAGGTGTATTAAGTAGGTAAGTGAGACAAGATCAAATAACCATACATGGATGGTTAAGAGTAACTATTCTAAAGCTCCCAACTAACAGCTCCACACAACCATGTATCTTGTCCCGGGCATACATGTTTGTATCAGTGTATTTCTGTGTCAGTGTTGTGTGGTGTTTGTGTTTGTATCTGTGCCTAGTAAGCACTAAGCAAAGGCAATAGATTGCTCAATTGAAGGAAAACAATGGGGCTAGAGGCATAAAAATTGGAAAACAGATAAAGGTCCTTTAAACCAAGAAATATATTCAGTAGTTTAAGGCTCGAAGCACAAACTTAACTATATTAAAAATATCAAAAATTCAGGGTATCCTGACAAGTAAACAATGATTGACTACAGACCAGGGGCTATAGAGGCAATCTAGGACAATTTCGTCAGAATCAAACTGCAAGTTGGTAGAACTGAAAGAATTTCCATTCCATTCTCTTCCTTAAATCAATATAAACTGAATCAGCAATCGCGTAAAAGATGATTCGAGTCATGATTGATATCAACAAATATCAAAATCTCGAATGTCATTACTAGATTTCAAGGCAAATCAAAATCAGCAGCATAATCTGAACTCATAAAATGAAATAAACTGAATCAGCAATCGCGTAAAAGATGATTCGAGACATGGTTGATACCAATAGATGTCAAAATCTTGAATGTCATTACTAGATTTCAAGCAAATAAAGATCAGCAGCATAATCTTAATTCATAAAATGAAATAAACTGAATCAGCAATCGCGTAAAAGATGATTCGAGCCATGACCGATATCAATAAATATCAAAATCTTGAATGTCATTACTAGACTTCAAAGCAAATCAAAATCAGCAGCATAATCTGAATTCATAAAATGAAATAAACTGATTCAGCAATTGCATAAAAGATGATTCGAGCCATAATCGATATCAATAAATATCAAAATCTTGAATGTCATTGCTAGATTTCGATAATTTTACCCTAAACATAAACAGAAAATCTAAAGTAGATTTTTTAGTACCCTTTTTATGGAACCATTCTTTTGAACTTCGGACTTAACATCCCATCCAGTCGGAATTGTCGGACTTTCATCTCCCTTAGGTGGACTTTCCTCTACCTTCGGTGGACTTTCCTCTCCCTTAGGTTCCATATATTCAACATGCATTTCACTCGATATACTGTGAAAGGTCGATTCCTCCGTCCACCTAGTTTGAAATAGTTTTTAACCTAGATTTGTGATAAGTAGACAACAAGGAAAGGCGGAAGACCGCAAATAAAAAGGTGCTTCCTCCAAAGACATGTGTTCCCATTCTCGCACGTGCAATCGTCACCGATTGAATCATGGTCTAATTTTACAATTTACTAACATTTTCGGATTACCTAGGAGATGCAATGTACTAACCGAAATATTTACCATCAGCCGGAAGATTTATGAACCGAGGGCAATACATTCCAAAATAGATCATATTACCATTTCTAACAAATCGATTATAGTACCTCACAAAAAATCAAAATAAGAGGCAGAGTATCTTGAAATCACTAATCCAAATAAAAATAAAACATTGTCGTAGCAATACAACAGCCAAAGAAGAGTGTGAAAAATCTTAAAAATCAAGCACATGCAATGAATCCAACATCACCATGAGGTCACCTAAGATCCTTACCCATTGACACAAAGAAAAAAGTTTAGAACAATGAAGAATGAAATAGCCACAGAAATAAAATGCTGTGATCAAATATATGACGAAATAACTATAACAATCGTTTTGCCTCAAATAAAAACTTCCATTAAATGTTGAAAAGAAATTCCGGCAAAAATAAAATACTACGGCGCTTAGTTGCTAGTATCATTCAAAATCATAACACAATAAGAAATCAAAAAGGTTACCTCTAGAGAGACAAGGACAACCCTTTGCATGATTGTCATCTCATTTCCAATGTGATCACAACGGAGACACCGTATAATCCATATACCTCTTCGGACATTCTAGTATACTTCTCTTACAATACTACATGCTACCCTGACAATTGCAAATCAAAATCAAAATCAAATTACTTCAAATGAGACACACAAGGAAACACAAGAAACCGTTTCATTCATATTAACCTAGAACTAGAATCTCATAACAACAACAATGGCCTGTGTTTAACAACATTGTGACAAAATATAAAGATAAATAAGTTTAATAGTAAAACTATGAATCAATTTTACTTTTGGAATAACTAGTGCAGGGTGAGTTGTAACTTTTTTTTGGAATGTGCATAGCATACCAAATTTTTGTTTTTTCCAATAAAACTATAGAACATTCAAATTCCAATTAACAAATCATGACAAATAGCAACTAATGAAATTGATTAATGGTAAATTGAAAATAAAGAACCCTAATAATGATGAAAAGGTTAATTACAATAGAGGATTCGCCCTAATTTTGCTTATTATCATAAGTAATTTGAAACACAAAGATATAGAAATATAGAATGAGAATGAATGGTTGTTAAAAATGGTATTATCTATGACAATGAACTACTTGATTGAGTTGATACAGCTATCATTTTTTCCATGTATAAAAAATGAGATATAAACATCACGTAAAACAAACATATTGCGCTGCGCTGGTGGATTGGCAATGAAAGGAACGTGAGGCGGAGATGGTGACGGCAGCGGAGCGGTGAAAAAAGCAGTGAGGCGGCGATATCAGAGAGACGGAGGTGGCCCATCGCGGTGGAAGTAAAAAGGTGATGCTATGATGGTTTCACATAGGTTTCCTCCCTTTTGTTGAATTCAAATGGTTAACCAGAAATTCGCTTCAACTTTTCAAAATCAAAATTCTTAAAAACAATTATTTCATTCTCAATCACCTTTTCAACACCAAAACATCATTCTTGTATTTCATCATTTTAAAAGAAACAAAACAAATTAAAATTGCAGGTAAAGTTGAATCATTTCATCCTTCATTCCTTGCATTAATATGATTTTTGTGTTGACAAAATGAAGGTTGAATTCGAATATGCATCTCCAGACATAGTTTGGTGTTGGATGTGTATATCCGGATTGTCTCAGTAATTTGAGTTTTAACATTATTTTTCGGTTGTTTGTGGTATTAGATATGGTGTAGAGGATATTTTTCTCAAAGCTATTGTGAGTGTGGATGATGATGTTAAACCGGATAAAGTAAAAGATGATGTTAAACTAGATGAAGTGAATGATGATGTTAAACCAAATAAAATGAAAGATGATGTTAAATCGGATACTCGACTGCTTGTTGTCGAGATAGATGTGCGTGCACAACTTACAAATAAAAAAGTGTTTATTGTTCGTGAACATATGCCATAATGGGTCCATAAGGAGGCCGACAAATTGAGGTTTGGCGTTGTAATCGGAAGATCCAATCATCATTCGGATAGAAGACAAATATTTATAACAATGAGATGCGAAATAAGTGGCATGTGCTAACCACAAATTAGAAAGTTGAAACGAGATGACACTTAATCGAGGAAATGTGAATGTTTGTTTAAATTGCATGGATTCCGTATGGCGGATGAGACATGAAAATTTAATGTGATTTCCAAAATACATAATCATGCCTTGACTGACAAGTTGCCCTACCTACGCCTTTCATTTATGTATTTCAATGGTGCAAATACCTCACTTCAATTTAGGGTCTTCAATGACATACTTTTCGATGATTTGAAATCCAAATCGAATACTCTCCTATGATATCCAAAAAATTAGAGAGTTGTTAAGTTCGAGTACCGTTCACCATCAATTGACAACGAATGAAAGATATAGTTCACCATGCTTAAACTAAAGACGAATGATGATTTAAAGATTATGTGGAGTATCTGTTATCGTTACTTAATAAAGGGTCTGATTGAAAAGGATGCAACGATTGCAAGATCGATCGAAGATATTTTAAGGATGTTATAACATCCTGAACCACCACTTTATGATTAAATGTAATGTTAAATTTATGTTAATATTAACTTTTATCTATGTAATATTTATTTTGAAGTTAATTTATGTTGTTGTTCCATTATTTTGCCATTGTTTTCGGTTGTTTCTGGTTTGATCAAATAGAATATATTTCGGAGATGCATCTCCGAAAAGCTCACTAAATATTGAACTATATGTATTTACGAAGATGAATCTCCAAATTAATCTTAAAAGCATATAGAAATTCATCTCTAGACTAAAATTTAACAGAAGAAGGATTTCTCAACAAATTCATCTAAAATCTGTGTGAAAAATATGTACTGAAAATGCGTCTTCTATATACATTTGAAACTTTTTATGGTGGTAGGAAAATGTCGAAAAAAACAACCAACAAAATAAACAAATAATTAATGTGACACTCACAAAATATGATATAACTTAGTCTAAAAGAATTTCATCAAGTCTCATCTTCAAATTTTATTAAATACAAATAATTTTTGTATTAAATAAAAGTTGGACATGCTATTATTTTCTACTGAACTTCAAAAAGAGTGTTGATTTTTTAATTAGTCAAGTCGTAGGACCGAATATCAAAATTATAAAAGTGTTATATTTGAATTTTTTATTTATTTTAAAATAATTTTCTTTAAATATATTTAACTAATATACAATTAATAGCATATATTTATATTTTATATTATTAGTTAAACATAGTCATTAAATTTTTGCAAGTGATTAAATTTTATTTAAATCATATATATATATATATATATATATATATATATATATATATATATATATATATATATATATATATATATATATATATATATATATATATATATATATATATATATATATATATATATATATATATATATATATATATATATATATATATATATATATATATATATATATAGGATGAAATAGGTTTGATCGAGATAGACTTTATCAAGATTAATTTTAGTCTGTTAAAAATATCAAAGTTCTAGTCGACTAATTGTCTTTTAAAGACTTATTTTTAGGCTCAAGATTGTACTTTTCGAATGTTTAATTAGACTTTTAATCTATTTAAAAATCTATTTTCATAAGATTTTTTTCAACCTATTTTTATAATCATAAGTTCTTCAAAATAATTAATTTTTATTTTAATTTATTAAATCAATGTATAATATAATAATAATAATAACAAAATAATAATAATAATAATTTCATATTTGTTTAAATAGGGCAACTTAATAGTGAAGTCCGACATTTTTAACTAAATAAACTTATAAAAAGTTTAGGTCTTTTTTATTCTAAAAAAAGACCGGTCTGACATGGACCTATGTAGGCTAACTCTCGTTAATTGGTCTGACATATTCACACCCCTAATTGTAATATACTAACAGTAAAAAAATTTATACTAACGGCACATAGCAATTAATCTTTATTTGTTTACTATTATACTTTTATTTATTAATTTTCATTCAATTCAACTATAATTAATAAGAGTATTCTAATATATGATATTAATTTTTGTTCTAGGCCGAACAGAAAGATCCCGGACGAGTTAATTGTACTGCGTCGTCTCAGCCTGCATTATAATATAGGTCTTTTTCCATTACGAATCTTCTCAATGAGTGAAGATATTTATTTCTACGATCCTAAGAGATTTCAACTGTAAAAGCACATCCAACGGTCATCCGCAAAGAACGGTGAGCAAATCACTGATTCGTTATTTTCCTCCTTTTATATATATAGAGCATGTGCCAAATCGAGGTAACCTTGCATATATTGAACATTGGAGTATTAACCTTGCAAGTACCCCCATTATACTGCATCGGAGGTCGTGAGCTACCGCCACCCCTGTTCAAACTTATCATTTCTGGTTCTAGGACAGAACAGTGGCACCGTCTGTGGGAATTGACTATTGATTCCTATGATTTCCACAAATTCGCATTAGTTATTCGACTTTCGCAGTTCGTTACTCTTTTCGATCACTAAAACAAGTAATCGTAATCGCACGCGAAGATATATCGTGATCCGATTCGACTTAGCACAACTTCAGTCTCATTTCTTCAACATTGCCATAGCACCAATTTTCATCTTCAACAGATATGGTTGGATCTAAGACTATCAGACACATCGCTGCATGGAAAGTTGTTGTCGCTGCCTTAGCAGCAAGTAATCAATTACCTCTTCCTCCGCAACAAAATTGTTGCAGATCCTAGAGCGATTGTTTCTTCACATCTAGTGTCGATGAACGATGAGGACCACAAACTTTGGAACAAGTATGTTGGTTGCGAGCTGGTGATCTCACGACCTTTTTCCATGGCGTAGTTGTACCAAGGGGGATGACTCTAGTGTGGCAGTCTGGTTGCCTCAGAAGACTGTCTCTCATACAATGTTGTTCCTTGGTGGAGCATATTGAAGGTTCTCTTCAATCTTTAGCCTCCTATCGTCCATGAATTATGAATTATGTTGGCGTATTAGGTCGTAAACGGTGTTCAACATGTAGGTGGCTCATAATACTCCAAGATTTGCTTGCAACATCTAAAAACTTGAGCACATTTCTTGTTCAGGTACACCAGAATGTAAAGGAGGTCGATGTGATGGTTGGATTGGAAAGGTTGTTGTATATGTCTAAAGAACAAGAGAGTATGGAATATTCCTTAACCAACTCTTGTAAAAACGAAATCTTGTTAAGTAGAGTGAGATGAAAATGCTACCAAAATTAAACCTTCTTTCACCATAGAATGAAGAGGAAGAGGTGGAACTTTAACATTTTTAGTGGTCGCAACAAAAGCTTGTTGTTGGATGACAAATCGAGTGACTTTGGATGTCACCATGCTCAATGAATTTGTAATAGATCTATATGAGAATGAGAATGATGTTTTAAGAAAGGAGGTCGCTGGTCTGGATCTTCCATGGAGAAACAATAGTTTTCGTGGAAATTAACAGAAATCAAAAGTTGATTCACATAGGCGGCGCCACCGTTTGGTTAAGAACTAGACATGAAAGATGGGATGGTGAAGTTGTGTCCCACTATATGGTGGAGTGATACTCTAATGTCTAATTCAATGAGAAATGAGGAGTAATGTGTGAGTGAGAACGAATTTAAATACTTAAAATATTGTGTTTTATTCTTATATATCAAGAACTGTTCACAAGTGATGGTTAATACGTTGGAGGGCAGAATCATCTGTTTCTAGTCAAAATGAAATCTTCCATTTTATGTGTTTTTTCACTTGGAATTTGTTATTGGATGTTTTATCATGGGTCTTTCGAATGACACGGAAGAGAAATAAATTACAAATTATTTATGAAGTATATATTATATCATATCATTGTTATTATAAACTCAACATTTAGTTTATTACAAAACAAGAATGTCGCATAAATAGGAAAAATTTGATCCAGACAAATTCCTACATACTCTGGCATTTTCTGTTCCAATAGAATCAATCAACCTTAACTAAATCCATAATCAAAAGTCCTTTACCATTTAGAATTCCAAAAGCAAAGAAAGATGCCTCGTGGAACGCTTGAGGTTGTTTTGATCAGTGCCAAAGGCCTGGAAGACAATGATTTTCTCAGTAAGTTATACAAGATTTCAAATTTTGATATTGCAATGTCAATGATTTCACCTTTTTCGTTGAAATTTCTGCATTAAAACATGAGTTAAAATTGATTTAATCTAGATACTTGGATCTATGTATTTGTCGTTCATAAAGCTTGTTAATTGAATCTATTTTTGTTATAACTATGATCATATAACGTTGAATTACCAATTTAATTACTCACATTGTGCTCAAATTGCAGCTAGCGTAGATCCTTATGTGATCCTTACTTACAGAGCACAGGAGCACAAGAGTAATGTGCAAGAAGGTAAAATTCTGAAAAATCTTAATAGTATTGTATAATTTTCTCTTTAGTGGCTTGATTATTGTATTATGAAAATGTTAGGTGCTGGATCCAAGCCTCAATGGAATGAAACCTTTCTTTTCACTGTTTCTGATTCTACTTCTGAGCTCAATCTAAAGATAATGGAAAAGGACACCTATACTGATGATAATATTGGAGAAGCAATGTGGGTTAAATTCTTCTTTAAGTTGCAAATTCTGCTTTAGAAAGGGGCAATTTGCAATTTTGGTATACTAAATATGCATTCATTTCTGTGTAGAATTCCTTTGGATGCTGTGTTTGAAGAGTGTAGTGTTCCTGAGAGTGTTTACAAAATTGTGAAAGGAGAAGAATATTGTGGTGAGATTAGGGTAGCTCTCACTTTTAAACCTGAGGTAATAATAATGATGTATAATTTGTTTCTCTACTTTTATTCGTGTTTTGTGTCTATTTGTTAGTCTCTATTCAAATTTACTATCAATTATTGGTTGCAGAGAATTCAAGAACGGGGTTACAATGAGGAAAAGGAGAGTGGTGGATGGAAAGAATCAGCTAGAGAATTTTGAAGTGAATCAAGGATTTGCATTGACAGATTTCCAAGGTTTAAAATACTACTATAAAATAATCTCTTCAATCAATGTATTATCTTTGTCATAACATTGTATGCACTAAAATTTATTCAAAAGCAGAAACAGTGAAATAAGAGTATATGAAATAAAGTTCCTGGCAAAAGGATGGTTTATCATAAGTAAACAGAATAATATCGACAAACAGTTAACAGCAAATGGCTGATTAATTAGTCGCTATTTATTTTTTCTTGATTCCGGGACTTTACTCACTCCATGAATTGCAAAAGTGAGTAGAGACGCCGGCATCTTGCTCGGGTATATAATCCACATCTTTCTCATCATCAGTACTTTCATCTGAGCTGGATGGTTTAGAACCATTATCTGAAAGAAACATATATTGAGTCAATTGCCTTGTTGAATAAAGTTAAGCACAAAATGATAGTAAAAGTGTGATACCAAGGTTTTAAAAAATGGTTTGTCACCACGACCAGCGTCGTAGAATCAAGGTTTTCGATGCCTCAGCATTCGTTATTGAAGCTGCATTAGCCGTGTATTTGGCCGCAGTTTTCTGCAATATTAACAGATTGTGACACAGCCGTCACCGCGGCTGCGATTTCAAACCTTGAATGAAACTATGCAGTTTAAATACTCCTTTTTATTAAACTTCGAATTGTTTAGCCTGTGTATAATCCTATGATTTACCTACGCTTCTATGATCATAGACAAACATTATAAATTTTAAGAGTTCTGTTCAGAAACTTACTCTTGGAAGCAGCTAATGAGTCTGAGTTTGATGGACGTGGTGGTCTCCCACGAATTGACAGGGCAGCTGATGTCTTCCTACGACCAATGAAATTGTTTTTCTTCAGAGCTTCGTCTTCCCTTCTTCTAATTGATTTACCACACTGCAAATAGAAAGAAATATTAGATTGATGTTCCAGATTGTCGTTGATAGTTTAGCTCAAAACCGAATATAAACAGAAGAAATTTTAAGGATAGGGAACAAATCTACACAAAGGGAACTTAGATACCTAAATGGAAATCAACTACACAAGTTGAAAAACAACAAAATTAGTATCTAATCTAATAGACTAACAAAAAGTAAGGTAATTGTATACTCCAACTGAAAAAATTAAACTTCAAATGAAATGTATTTGCTATGAAGCACGGACATCCCTAGGAGTAAGCGTGTTGCGGTGTCTGATACTTGTATGACACTCTACAACACGCGTCAAAAAAGTCAGACAAGTGTCAGAAAAGTAAGACAAGTGTTTCCAAAAAAATGGTTTTTTTCTTTGATTTGACACTTTGAATCGGCGTCCGACACTCATATGACACGTATCGTGTCTTGGTGTCCCTGTCAGAGTCCGTGCTTCATAGTGTATTTGTCATATACAGCACATTAGTCACTAGTAAGAGAGAAAAAAAACCATTTTTGTTTCTTTTTTTTTACAGTAAAATTTCTGCAGTGAGTGCAGGAATTTCACACACTTCGCCTCTAGCAATACAGTAAGCAAATTGAAACTTAATAAAGCATTCAACAAAATCATTGGACACTTTCACGAGGCATATTTAAAATATTACATGTCTAAAGTGCAAGAAACTTCCCAAAATTGATGGGAAATTGTGGGTCTGATAAGAACAACACATTCAGTTGATATGATGATTCAGGAAAAATGAAATTCAACTCACCAAGTGGTAGGCGCCAACCTGATATCGCTTAGCATAATTCACATAGCGCATGAGATTAGGATATGTATAGAAATGCTGCCCAGTGTCAGGACAATAATAAGACTGCAACAGAAAAATACAACACAATCAGTGATAGACATTCATAGAAATAAGAAACATTGGTTAGTATAGTATCATGGATTATAGGAATAATGGATGCTATTTAGTAGACACGTTTAGAAATAAATGGCTATTTTCACTTCCATGATGAAACTGATCAATAATAATTCAAAAAACAAATTTCACGTCTGCTGATGTGTATGCTTTTTCAAAACATTATCACAAATACAATGGTTTTTCATTCACTATGATTGCTTCTTGAACAACTTTCCCATTTTTTAACTAGGCTATTTTGAAGCATAAATACATCTAATATTTTCATACACTATTATGTTGCACATGTTTCGAACACTGGCACCTATGCGACATTCTTTAGACACGTACCCGACACTCTTTATGTTGCACATGTTTTCAACATTGGCCTGTACACACACCAAACATGCCTAGTAAACCATCTTGGACACTAAATCAACACAAAATGGCTTGATGTGTAAGGAACACACCAATCTTATAAAAACTGACTTTAAACAACTTTTAGTAATGCATAACTAAAATTTTATATATGCATTCAATGATGTGTTACCATATTATTTAATGAGTATGAGAAATCATGTGTTATCAAACCCAGTAAATGACGTGTCAACCCGTCATTCGAAGCATTTATAAAATATTTTTTCTCTGACGAAGTATACAAATTAAAACCAATAAAAATATAAAGAAATGTAAGAAAAAAATATAGTTTAACTAAAAAAGATCTCAGAACAAATTTCACCATGTCCCACACACATATTTATATTTAAGAGGCGTGTTAAGTGGATAAGTGAGACAAGATAGTCATGATCAAACAACCATGCATGAATGGTTGAGAGTAATTATTTGAATGCTTCGATTAACAGCTCCATACAATCATGTATCGTTCCGGGTATACATTGTTTTTATCAGTGTATTTGTGTTTCAGTGTTGTATGGTGTGTGTGTGTATCTGTGCCTCATAAGCACTGAGCAAAGGCAACATATTGCTCAATCAAAGGAAGATAGTGGTACAGGACAGGGGGTATAGAGGCAATCTAGGACAATTTAGTTAGAATCAAACTGCAAGTTAGTAGAGCTTAAGAATTTCTGTTCCCTTCCTTTAATCAATGTATAAACTGAATCAGCAATTACGTAAAAGATGATTTGAGCCACTATCGATACCAGTAAATATCAAAATCATGAATGTTATTACTAGATTTCAAAATCAGCAGCATAATCTGAACTGATAAAATGAAATAAACTGAATCAGCAATCATGTAAAAGATGATTCGAGCCATGATCGATATCAATAAATATCAAAATCTTGACTGTTATTATTAGATTTATAAGCAAATCAAAATCAGCAGCATAATCCCAACTCATAAAATGAAATAAATTGAATCAGCAATCGCGTAGAAGATGATTCGAACCATGATCGATATCAATAAATATCAAAATCTTGATTGTCATTACTAGATTTATAAGCAAATCAAAATCAGCAGCATAATCTGAATTCATAAAATGAAACAAACTGCATCAGCAATCGTGTAAAAGATTATTCGAGCCATGGTTGAATAAATATCAAAATCTTAAATGCCATTACTAGATTTCAAAGCAAATCAAAATCAGCAGCATAATCTGAATTCATAAAATGAAATAAGCTGAATCAGCAATTGCGTAAAAGATGATTCGAGCCATAATCGACATCAATAAATATCAAAATCTTGAATGTCATTACTAGATTTCGATAATTTTACCCTAAGCATAAACATAAAATCTAAAGTAGATTTTTGAGTACCCTTTTTATGGAACCATTCTTTTGAACTTCCAACTTGACATCCCATCCAGTCGGAATTGTTGAACCTTCCTCTTCCGTCGGTGGACTTTCCTCTCCTTTAGGTTCCATATAATCAACAAACATTTCACTCGATAGTCGATATACAGTGAAAGGTCTATTCCTCCGCCCACCTTGTTTGAAATAGTTCTTAACCTAGATTTGTGATAAGTAGACAACAAGGAAAGGGGAAAGACCGCAAATAAAAAGGTGCCTCCACCAAAGCCACGTGTTCCCATTCTCGCACGTGCAATCGTCAACGATCGAATCATGGTCAAATTTTACAATTCACTTAACATTTTCGGATTACCATATGCACTGTACTAAACGAAATATTTACCATCAGCCGAAAGATTTATGAACTGAGGGCAATACATTCCAAAATAGATCATATTACCATTTCTATTAACGAATCGATTATAGTACCAATCAAAAAATATCAAAAGTAAGTGGCAGGGTATCTTGAAATCACTAATCCAAATTTAAAATAATAAAAAAAAAAACATTATTGTAGCAATACAACGGCCAAAAACGAGTGCGAAAAATCTTTAAAATCAAGAACATGCAAATGAATCCAGCATCACCATGATGTCATCTAAGATCCTTACCCATTGACACAAAGAAAAAAGTTTAGAATAATGAAGAAAGAAATGGCGAGGCAAATAAAATGTTGTGGTCAAATATATGAATAAATAACTATAACAATTCTTTTGCCTCAAACAAAAACTGCCAATAAATGTTGAAAAGAAATTCTGGAAAAAATAAAATACTACGCGCTTAGTTATCATAACACAATAAGCAATCAAAAAGGTTACCTCTACAGAGACAGGGACAACCCTATGCATGATTGTCATCTCATTTCCAATGTGATCACAACGAAGACACCATATAATGCGTATAGCTCTTTGGACATTCTAGTATACTTCTGCTACCTGACAAAACATATCAAAATCAAATTACTTCAAATGAGACCCAGAAGGAAACACAAGAAACCATTTAATTCATATTAACCTAGAACTAGAACCTGATAACAACAATAGTGGCCCGTGTTTAACAAATTGTGACAAAATATGAAGATAAATAAATGTAATAGTAAAACTATGAATCAATTTCACTTTTGAAATAACTAGAGCAAGGTGAGTTCTAGCTTTTTTTGGAATGTGCAGAGCATGCTAATTTTATTTTTTTAATAGAACAATAAAACACTCAAATTCCAACTAACAAATCTTGACACTCTTCCCATTTGATGACAAATAGCAACTAATGAAATGAATTTGATTAATACTAGTAAATTGAAGGTAAAGAACCCTAATAATGATGAAAAGGTTAATCACAATAGAGATTTGCCCTAATTTTGCTTA